TATGCGTTTTTGCTGCCTGTTGCAGCGCTCTAGCGCTGCACGGCAAAAACGCATAAAAACCAGGGGGTTTTCGAAATAGCTAAGGTTGATTAATCTAGCAGGATGTGATTTCTTTCTACCTTATTTTCCTCCATTAGCATCGCTGGGAGGAAGAACTGGAAGGGGGAGCTCAGGCGGATACAGGAGACGGGCGAGGGGAGGGGAAAGGATTTCCTTGCCCTTGTCCTCCCAACGGCACAAGCATCAGTGCTGCAAAAGCACGAGTCTAAAGCTAAAGCTAGGGCTTAAAGTAACTCTAAGCTTTGACTTTTGTCTGTTATCAGTGAGAACAATGGGAATTTTGGCGGTTTTTTTCAAAGAGAATAAGGGTGATTTTTTTCAAAGGAAAGTATAAAATAGAGGCACTGCGAGCCTCCTGTGTTTCTCTCACCGCAGATGTGATTCACAGCTTCACATTGTTTCTTTTTTGAACAGAAAAACATTTATCAGCGTTGCCGGACTGAGAGAAGCACTTCAGGAAGAAGACTGCAGAAGTATTCTCCGAGAAAAATGCACTGGAAGGCGACAATAGTGCTCATCTGCGCTTTTGGCATCATCAAGGAATTTCGCCCGGCGACGCCTTTCCTTACTCCATTCCTCATGTCGCCTCCCAAAAATTTCACAAACGTTCAAGTTTACAGTGAAATATATCCATATTGGACATATTCCTATATGGTCTTTCTGGTAAGACAATACTCAGGTTTACGTCATCAGAATTTTGACGATAATTTGCAGCAGAATTGCTTTATGATTGATTTTTATGGATTAAGACAGCCTTGTGTGAATGCATTTCGTATCTCATCCTGACCCGGCGATGGAATAATTTTCCAGAAATTCTGAAAGTCTGAGAAACAAGTGCAGTCTGCTTTTATTCTGGAAATCCTTTTTCTGAAAAGCTGTGAAAATTTGAAAAAATTGCGTACTTTTATTGTTCTGTGGGTTTTACTTTATTCCTGAACTTTCTTAGCTGGAAACTTCTATGTTCTGCCATGATGAAAAATAAAAAGCATGAATGGTATCACTTTTTTTCACCTATTAACATTCATTTGCTGCACTTCGAAATACTAAGATAAATAGTGCAGGTCTGGTCCACGTTTTACAGAATGTATTATTTTAGGTTCCATCATTTTTTCTAACCGATTTACTGCGGTACAAGCCAATTGTTTTGGTGGAAGCGGTCTCACTATGTGTAACCTGGATTTTATTGATATGGGGCAAGACAATATGGCAGATGCAAATCATGCAAATCGCATTTGGTAAAAATCATCGATACATATTGTGCTGTTTTGCCACCTTCATGCTGCGCGAGCATATTAAACAGTAACATAGCAGTCAGGAAAACCGAGACTGCATGGACAGTAGTAGTGAATATCCGGTGTTAATGACATTACTAGGGATGCTCACAGAAGTTATGCGCAATTGTGACAGGCCCTGGTGCGAGCAGTACAAAAAAATTCGAATAACAAATAGTGCGCTAATTTACCATTAGTTTGCTTCTTAAACAGCTCTCGCAAGACGGGACCATCGACAGCCTTGCCAGTGAATGATTGCTATTGGCACTTACTACTTTCAGAAGGCACAAGTTAGAAGTCCAAAGCTTCTCTCTATTCACCCTCTACAAAAGCCAAAGGCACTGACTAGTAATCAGATTCGCAGCAAATGGCGGCTGGTAAGGCTTACAATAGCTTCCTCGTTCGAGAGGTGCGTACCAGCAAGCGAGCTAATGGGCCTGTAATCAAGAACATTTTGTTTTGAGAATTGGATCTGGAAAAAAATTTAGTGGCCAAAAACTTCATGGCGGCAAGATCTGGTTGTTCACTTCAAAAGAGTCAACTAAATTTGCTTTGCAGGAATAGCATCGTCATGCGAAATTGCCTACGAATCATACATGTTTCTGATCGTGGACCAAAAGTATTACGCTCTTGTTGCATCGTACACACGAGCCGCCACTTTGGCTGGCCGGTTTTTTGCATATGCATTGGCACAATTTCTTATTTCATTCAAATATGGATCGTACCTTTTGTTAAATCAAGTAATCAAGCTCATCTTTTCGTTTTTTGTTTCTACAGGTGTCTTTGAAAGAAAGCACATCGAAAAGATTTTAGACCAATGATGAATCCTCAGCTAGCAAATATTGGAATTTTTGCAACTTTCTAATTCCCGGCGCTGATACAATTGCAAACGTTCAAGCATATAATCCTCGGACAGACATATTTTATCGCCTTGACCTTTCGTGCCAACAATGCAGTTATCAAATGCGCTATCCTTCTCTATTTTGGGCTTCTCTCCTCCACATAATTCTGTACTACCGTTCAAGTGGATCCTTTCACAGCATTGGCGGCTTCCCCTTCTTTCTTTTACCATTCAATGATCAGCTTTGTCTGTTTGTTGTCTCTCATTCATGGCACACGAATAGCTGGACTGTTTTTTTTTTTTTGCTTACACTACCTTGATAATATCAGCCGGGTCAAAAAATAAGTGAAAAACTATTACTGGGAATAAAAAACGCTCTCTTTTTCACCTGCATGCAACATTATTTTCAGATATCGTTTGTCGCAACCTGTATAATCATTCCAATTGGGTTAGCTTTTCCCCCTATAACGAAGGAAATGATTGCAAACAGAGCACGAAAGGAAGAAGCTCAAGATCAGAAACAAACCACCAATACTACGAATGTTGACCAAGAGGGAGGGGAAGCTTCAAAAGAACGAGGACAACAAATTTCCAAAGAAAGGTAACACTTTCCTGTTAACATTTACAGCTGTAGCTCCTAAATAGGTTATAATCTCCTATTCTTCCGTCAGTTTATTTTGGAATTTAACCGTTTAATTATTTCGTTACTTAATTTAATTTCAATTTTTATTGATATAAATTTTTTTTGAAGCCATTTCAGTATTCTTCACTTCACACTCAGGCAAAGTTTTGGCTTTCTGCCTTTACCGGTTTTCAGTATCGCCTCCCGCCAAAAAATCTGCATGTATTAGGTGTCCATATGTGAGATCTAGGTACGCATGGATGTTGATTTTAAACGGGAAGAAGAGGATGTTACACTGAGTAGGAGTTGTGCTGAAAAATTATTTTTAAACCTTCTTTGCTTACTATATTTGTTTCCCTGAGGCCTTTGCCGGCTCATTCAGAAAATCATCTCAAGGAGAACTGAAACAATAAAGGAATTTTATAATTTGTTGGACAGAGTCCTGTAAGATACACATGCTCGCTTAATTCACTTGGCATACATCATTTTTGTTGGTGCTTAATTCTGTATGTAAAGGGCTCTCTTCCTGAATGTCCTTATGAAGCCACATGGATGTGAGGAGTTCAGAAAAGAAGGGGATGAAGAATTGCTAGCTGCGCTGATTGCTAAAAAAACATAACGATGAAGTTACGGCTGATGGTGTAATAAGATTATAAGAAAATTACATTCTAATGAAAAAGATGAGTTTGCAGTCTGTATTTTATTTCTTAGCTAGCTATAAACACAAACAGAGCACCGGATGCGAATGGTTTAAAATTAAAAATTTAAAATTTAAACATTAAATTAAAATCGAAATTCTTTAAAATTAGAAATTTTACAATGAATGATTTTATTGCTTGCTCGTATATAAATACCGCTGGTCATGCTAAATAATTATATTATTATGGGTTGCATGGGTAGAAGTGTGTTGGTTCATTTTGTTTGCGCACGTTGCGTTCATTGTGCCTGTAAACTTCATATCATGGTAGAATTACCTAGACAGCCGACTCGGTATGTAGTAGATTCCAATAGTCAGGCGTGACGTATTAGAGTGTGGTACTCGCGGGAAAGTAAGCGACCACTTGGGTGGCCTCCGGAACTGTGGCGCAAATACAGTACATCGATCATGGTAGGTTATTTAATCAGAAATGTGCGGTCCGAGAATGGGAGGCCTCGCATAGTCGTACCCGGCGTGTGTGAGCATCTTAGTAAAATCGCTAGCATGTCATGTATCTGCATTGATTGTCCAGGCAGTTTTGTTACTCTTGGTATATTTTATTAACAATGTTTATTTACTAATGGATGTGCGCATTGTTGCAGCACTAATCCGGATGCAAAACCACCTGTAGAGGAGCAAACCGTTGGGGATTATTTTCGCTCGATGTTCGGTCATTTCAAAGTATTTAAGCGGAATAGTTTGATTCTGAAATGGAGTATATGGTGGGCATTAACTAGCTGTGGCGTTTATCAGGTTAGTGGCTGTTTATCAATCAAATTTTTTGCGTTTCCTTCACTTATAAGGATACAAAGCACTTACTAGCACGACCCCGTCCATGTTTGTAAGATTGCCACACTTTTTCAACAAATGGATCCAGCAAAAATACCGACATTCCAGAAAAGTATTTTCTTTTACTATGCCCGCTAGAAACTGACGAAAGTGATGCAGCTGAAACTAGCACCATTAGCGTCGTTCAGTAGGTGAGAATTTCAATTCGCCATTGGAGCATCCAGTTCTTGTACCACTCGTCCGTTGTAGTATTGGTAGTAGCATGTGCCAAAAAATCAAACTTGCCTCCATGCTTCCAAGCAATCCATGCAAGAGGCAGTATCGACAGCCTTGTTAGTTCTGGTTGTGGTTAAAATTTGCTACCACTCGGATTACTTTCCAAATGCATCTGCCTCTCACAAAGTGTGAATACATCCGTCTTTTGGCTTACGACTGGCTAGAATTGTCGACATTAGTTTCCAAACTTTACCTGATTTTGAGATTTGTCTTGGAGAAATGGTATTAAATTTACATATTTTGTGTTTTCTGCATCACTTTATATGCGTCTGTATATTTGACTGGTCGGACGGGATAGTTGAGGCGCTAATTAAGATACTGAACATGGTATGAGGTCAAAAGCTCTGTTACAGAGGAGTTAGCAAGTCAAGTAAGTTACGCTGTTGCCAACTTTTAATTTGCCTTTTTTCCATCCAGAAAATGCAGGAAGAAATCTTTCAAGGTTTGTTCGGAACGTTTCTAGGAATTTTTCCAAAGCTGTGCCTATGGCTATTAATATTTTCAGGTTATGAATTATGCCCAGTCGTTGTGGGCGACCATGCAGATTATCTCAGACACATTTAACGGAATAGCCGAATGCGCCAACACATTAATTGGTAGGTTGCGTAACCAAACTTAAGCTCTTGTGCACGTGGCACCAATCCATCATCTCTAGGACGGGCAGCCGCTGAAATGGCAGAACATCTGCTAATTACGGAATATGGCAATTGTTAGAGTAACTTAATTACGGAATATGGCAATTGTTAGAGTAACTTAAGTTCATCCACCGCTCTCCTCGACCGTTCTTCCCCAGGAATCTAAGAAGAGGAGAAAGAGAAAGAAGAGGAGAGTGTGCTGCAAAAATTTTTTTTTTAAAAAATCACTGACCAAAATTTTGAACGGGGTCTCTTGGTCAAGAAGTATTTTAAGTACACTCTCCCTCATTCGCTTCAGTCTTCTTTCAGTCCCATTTATATGTGTTTTTTGCTGCAGCAGTTTCATAAAACTGTTGCCAAGACCCTCTCTGTGTCTGCATTTATGTATGTGTTTGAGTGCGTTTTGTCCCGCATTTTCAACTTGAGAACCATAGAAGCTAAGAAGCTGAAATTTTAGGAGGATGTTTCCGCATGGTACCGGAAATTTAAATTTAGCCCTCACGCAGCTCTGAGTACCAGGAAAGCTAGAGAGCTTAAATTTTATGGAGATGTCTTCTGCCTACATGCGATCCCACAACTTTAAATTCAGCCGTCACGTACGCTTGGGTGCCACGCACAGCACTGTGAAGGTTTTGGCCGGAAAAACTGTTGTCTCGAAAACTTCCGGTGGACGAAACTGCACAGAACACATGATCGCGCCGGTTACCCTGATGCGCGCAGCTATTTACTTGTGTTTAGCTCAAACAGCAATAAGCATCGCGATTTTCGTCCGTATTGAATTTTAATAAATGAATATGGGCTTTAAACACTGAGGAGGCAATTGGCCTCGAACTTAACGCACCACAGTTTTACTGCCTGCAACGCCTTTTAAGAATAGTCAATCGCTAAAGCTGGCTTCGCAATATGCGAATCGGGATTCCACAATCTCTCACGAGTCTGGTAGGTGTTTTTAAAGGCTAATTTGGTAACCTGCTGTAGCTATTAGGCATCTCACTATTGTTTAAATATTGACTTAATTGCAGGGGCATTGATATCATTTGGAGTTCAGTACATGCGTGTGAACTGGGTTGCGCGAGGTGAATATATACTGTTTGGCACCTCACTTGCTATTGCTGTTTTCGTGGCCATTATGTCGCAAAGCAAATCAATTGCTGTTTCTTACGTTCTTTACGTCGGTATTATAGCCATTTTCAACGTGCTGATCACCGCTGCCAGGTTTTATATTTTTATCAGCCACTTATCTGATAAATGAGATAGGAATAAGGATAGGATAGTGATAATAATAACAGTAAAATGTTAATAATAGTAACAATAATGACGATATCGAATAGTAATATAGTAATATTAGTAATAAGATAGGATATTGAGGATAGTGATGGAATCCTATTAACATCATTACATGGGATCCTGAAATATCCGCAGAAACTGTTTGAACGGCCATGGTATCTATGCGGAGGATAGCTGCGCCTGGCATTTGAGATCATCTCATTAATGTCACCAACACATGACACCCACATTAATAGTCCGAAAGGTTCTGGCAGTTATGGCAGTATGAACACATCTCAGCTTTTTGAAATTACCCGGACTCTCGCTGTGGAGCGCTTATCGGTATTATTAAGATGTAGCTAGGTGTCGAACAAAGATAAGTTACTTCTTGTCTCAACTACTGTCTCTATCATATAGTTGTGTACTCCTAGGAAGGAAGCGAGCGAGAGAAGGTCATTTTCTTTCGAACAGCAATCTTCGGTACTCGTTCCCATAATATAATAGTAGAATAGAGGGAACTGGACTAAGAGTCACGTATAAGAAGACAGGCAGTCTGTGTTTCATCTCATAGCTGTAAACACAGACCGAACTTAGCAGACGAACAGGAGCTGGAATCATCAGTACAGCCTCCTACCCGCCATGTACAGAACAATCATGTGACTAATTTGCAAGACGAATATAAGAAGAAAGGAAGCGAGCGAGAGAAAGACACAACTACCGGTTTTATTGCCCTTAAATTAAGTGACTTAGGAAGAGAGTTGTCAGATTTATAAAGAATTTGTCAAATAGGAAACTTGTGTCTTTGGGCTGAAATGTGTACGTGTTACAGTGCGAATATAGCGTCACAGCTGGATTCAGCAAGTTACGGCTTTGTTTTTGGACTGGATACTTTTATTGCACTTCTTCTGGAGACAATCCTTACTTTTGCTGTAGCTGACAAACATGGCCTTGCATTATATATTCGAGAACAGGTACCACAATTTCTTTTCTTGCTTGCACCGCAGTCAGGAATGGTCACATGTAGTTTTTTCACTAAGGCTTGCCAAATCGGCGCAGTGGGATAAAAATTTGTGAGGCACGAATTATAATAGATAGCAGCGCGCACCAGACTAGCCGGTGCGATCATGCGTTTTGTGCAATTTATCCCATCGAACGACTGCCTATCAATGATTTTCACAGCTTTGTACTTTAGTCTATGCAGAAATAGTTTAAACATTGGAAAATAGTTAAAAATTTCGCGTACCAGCGCATGAAAGCTAAATTCGAAACCTTGAGTGGTAAATATCTTTACCTCGGGTTAATAGTTTATCCGCCAAAATTTTCACGAGGCCGTAAGTGACAATCAAAAGCGCAGGAACGTTGACTTTGGATAGACAGGGTCGAGCGTGGGCAGGAGGGTCATTATCCTAAAATTTCAGCCTGCTAAACTTCGTGATTCCTGAGATATTAATTTACCCATAAAAAACTTTCACAGGGCCGTACGTGTTAGCCGCCGGTACGGGAAGGCTGAATTGGGATGGGCTAGGTTGAGCGTGGGCAGAGGGTCACTACCCTAAAATTTCAGCCTGCTAGACTCTGTGGTTCCCGAGATATTAATTTACCTGTAAAAAGTTTCGCGGAGCCGTACGAGTTACCCGCGGGTACGGAAAGACTGAATTTAAATTTGCGGGGTCACACATGAGTAGGGAACGTTTCCCAAAATTTTCAGCTTCCTAGTTTTTGTGGTTTCCGAGTTGGAAGTTGCGGACAAGTTGCTGCGGAAACACACACACACACACACAAACACACACACACAGAAAACCCGGTGACAATATGCGTTTTGCACTGCTGATACACAGCACAAAACGCATAATAAAAATAATAACAACAGTAATAGCAGTAACAATAATGATAATAATAATAATAATAATAATAATAATAATAATAATAATAATAAT